TGACCATTGTGTGTTTCAGGATCTTACGACGAAGAAGATTATTGGTGAAGGACGTGAGACTAATGGCCTGTATCTTCTCAACACTTCCATTCCTAAAGCAGCTGCTTGTGTTGGGATTGAGTCACCTCTTGAGATTCATTATCGTCTTGGTCATCCATCCTTGTCCCTGTTAAAGAAAATTTGTCCTCAATTTCAACATCTCTCTGTTTTAGAGTGTGAATCATGTCGTTTTGCTAAACACCATCGTGTTAGTTTGAGTCCTAGAATAAATCTACGGGCAAGTGCTCCTTTTGAGTTGGTTCATTCTGATGTTTGGGGTCCTTGCTTGGTTGTGTCGAAACCCGGATTTCGGTACTTTGTTACTTTTGTTGATTGCTATTCACCTATAACTTGGCTCTATTTAATGAAATCTTGTTCTGAGTTATTTTCTCACTTTCGTTCGTTGTGCTGAAATCCAAACCCAATTTAATATGCCTCTTAAAATTATGCGTGGTGATAATGCTAAAGAATATCTTTCCAGCCCCTTCCAAGCCTACATGCGTGACCATGGCATTCTCCACCAACGTGTGTGGATACTCCAGCCCAAAATGGAGTAGCTGAACGCAAAAATCGACATCTGCTTGAACCTTGGTGGCCAGCGGTCTTGCACCTACCCTATTTCTAATTGTGTCTCTTATGATCATTTGTCTTCTACTGCTTGTGCACTCACCTCTTCTCTAGATTCTGTCCCTCTTCCTAAAACTGTCAAAGAAGCACTCTCTCATCCTGGATGGCGTACTGCCATGATAGAAGAGATGAACGCCTTGGAGCAAAATCATACTTGGAGTCTAGTTTCATTGCCGATCAGCAAGAAATCTATTGGTTGCAAGTGGGTCTTCTCTATTAAGGTTAATCCAGATGGGTCTGTGGCTCGCCTCAAAGCTCGATTAGTGGCCAAAGGATATGCTCAAACCTATGGTGTGAATTATGATGAGACTTTCTCTCCAGTTGCCAAGCTCACTTCTGTTCGCTTTGTCATCTCTATGGCTGCGTGTCATGATTGGCCGTTGCATCAATTAGATATCAAAAATGCGTATCTTCATGGTGCTCTTGAGGAAGAGGTTTATATGGAGCAACCTCCAGGGTTTGTTGCTCAGGGGGAGAATGGGAAGGTATGTCGGCTGCATAAATCTTTATACGGACTAAAACAAAGTCCTTGTGCATGGTATGGCAAATTCAGCCAAGTAATCGAGTGGTTTGGAATGGTGAAAGGCCAATTTGATCATTCTGTCTTTTATAAGCGATCTAGGGGTGGAATCATCTTACTGGTTGTTTATGTAGATGACATCATTATTACATGAAATGATTTTGCAGGTATTTCATCACTCAAGACATTTGTCCATAGTCAGTTTCAGACAAAGGATCTTGGACCGCTGAAGTATTTTCTAGGGGTTGAAGTTTTGCGATGCAAGAAAGGTATACTGCTTACACAGAGGAAGTATGTGCTTGATTTGTTGTCTGAGACAGGAAAGCTCGCATCCAAACCATGTAATACACCTATGGTTCCTAACATGCAATTAACGAAAGACGGTGAATCATTCAGTGATCCAGAGAGATACAGGAGATTAGTGGGTAAACTAAACTACTTGGTTGTGACCCGCCCAGACATTGCTTATTCTGTTAGTGTGGTAAGTCAGTTTATGGCATCCCCAACAATTGATCATTGGGCTGCGGTGGAACATATTCTGTGTTACTTGAAAGGAACTCCCGGTTGTGGTATTGTCTATTCAAATCACGGTCACATGAACATTGAAAGTTATGCAGATGCAGATTATGCAGGGTCGAAGGATGATTGTAGGTCCACCTCTGGTTATTGTGTCTTTGTGGGTGGGAATCTGATTTCGTGGAAGAGCAAGAAGCAGAACATTGTCTCTCGTTCTAGTGTTGAGTCTGAATATAGAGCCATGGCACAAGCTGCGTGTGAAATAATATGGATATATCACCTCCTGAATGAAACTGGTTTCAAAGCTCCCATCCCTGCAAAACTATGGTGTGATAACCAAGCTGCTCTTCATATTGCATCCAAACCAGTTTTTCACGAAAGGACGAAACATATCGAAGTAGATTGTCACTTTCTTCGGGAGAAAATACAGAAGGGATTGATTTCTACTGGATTTGTGAAGACAGGAGATCAATTAGCAGATCTCCTTACTAAAGCGCTAAATGGAACCAGGCTTATGTATTTATGTGACAAGTTGAGCACTTGGGCATGATAAATATATATGCTCCAACTTGAGGGGGAGTGTTATTAGTAATAATATTAGTATTTTAGTTAAGTCCTGATTTGGCCATTAATATGGGAGATTTAGTTTCCTTATATTAGCACCCTTCTTATGTATATATAGTCATATTGTATTATGTAATTATGTATTATGAGGAAAACCTCTGATTATCAATCACATCATAAAAGTTTATCAAGGTGGCAGTGTTGGTTTCTCCTTGATCATCTAGGACCATGGTTTGCATATCACCATAGTGCTTATCTTCAAAGTTTCTTTTGTCCACCTGGAGTGATGGCTCAAGAGGCCATAGGAGTACTCCGGAATATAAACCAGGGCAACAAAAGGGGAGCATACGACGATGCAACCCGTTTTCATTTCGAGGAAATCCTCGGCGGAGGAAAGGGCTGTAGGTGATGGAGAGGTACAAAATGAGTTTCGCTATGTGGAAACATAGTCAAGTCTTTCATTTAAATGAGTTGTCCCTATAGGAACGGTGTCCTTATTGAACCCCTGCTTCGTTAGTACTTCAAAGATGACAATGGGAAATGGCAAACCGTTTGAATTCAATTAAATTTGTTTTAGCAAACATTAAAACCTGATCAAAGATTAACTTGGCTAGGTTCTCTGGCAGTTTGCAGGAGATTTGATAAAGGAGCTGTGCCATTTTCTTTGTCACCGTATTGGTATGAGTAGTGGCTATCCACTGGTAAGAGGCAATTATTAGTAAAACTGCATAACAGCTACTAAAAATTGAGGAAGGTACCTTTTGCTTTCACGAACATGAAGATCTATTGTTGTGAGGCAGTTATTTCCACAGAGTATTCTTTGAAATAGGAGTTCCCTTATAGTCTTCACACTCTAAAAACTCATTGATAATGTTGGGAGAGAGAACTCATTCAACTTCCTTCTAAGTTATAGCATTTCATCCAATGGGGAATGATATGAGGGAGATAAATTGCAGAAAAAAAATTATGAATCACTTTTTCAACAAAAGAACCAGATATTGAGATAGATTTGATTAAACCTCGCTCAATGAGAAGAGGCATCATGGTACACTTTTTCTCAATATCTTTCAGATCTATCTTCCTCTGGGTCTGAGGAAGAATATATTTGGGCAGAAGCGTTGATGCATGTTCAGTATAGAAATAAAGCGAGTTTGGCTACCCTGTTATTGGCTACAGAACCTGTCTTCTTGTTTTTGGATGTTAGAGAAGGGGCTGCAGCGTCCTTCAGAGCTAGTTTTCTTTTAGACCTTCTCACAGCTAGTGACGGAATCTTAGAGCTCCTTTTTTGGATGAACATCTCCTAGCCATCTATCTCTGGGGTCTGCTTGAATGGCACTCCCAACTCATGCACTTCTTGTTCTCATTTTTGCTTCCTCATTTGAGGAGGAGAATCTTCTGTGGGTGAGGATTGAGGATTCTGAAAAATCCTCATTGAGGATTCTGAGCATTCTTTAGAGTTTGAGATATCTCATTTTCTGCTTCTGCTTCTTCAACCGTGCTTCTTTTTGGTTCTTGAGTTTCTCATGAGTGTGGAACAACATCCTGGACAAGTGATGTAGATTGTTGAGCGGCCTCCGTATGCGTTTCTAAAAGAGATGGAGATGATGCTGTAACAGATGCATGTACAGCATAGTATTCCAGGTACAATATTTCTGGTGCCAGTTTTGGTGAGGCATCTTCAGCTTCTCCTTGGGTTTTAGATGGCTCTTCAGCACAGCGCAGGTGGCTTTCATAACTGAGATTGGACAGGGGTCCATTTCAACTCGTCCCTTGAGTAAATCTTCAGAGCTAATATTGTGTTTCCTGAGAGTATGAGTCTTCCTGCGGCTTTCCAGATTTCTTCCTCTTCCCCTGTTGTAATTTCCGCCTCTGGTTCGCACCATGGTGGTGAGATTGGGTTGAACTTTGCAGGGGAACATATGGGCGAGGTTTTTCAGTAAATAATGGTGTGAGAAAAACTTATTTCAAATATTTAAATTTGATTTGATAGTGCCTTTTCAGTTTATGGGGCAGTGACGAGGTGCAATGTTGTAGACTTGTAGTACTACATATGCTTTTTTTTTTAATTAAGTCAAATTGTTTTCTTAGATCATTCAACAAGATCATGCTTTCAACAACTTCAGCCACCAAGTTTAGCAATTTCATAGCTCATCATCTAATTTTTGAACCAGGCAGCGGATTTGAGTGAAGATGCAAACATAAGGCCAACATCATCTCGTAAATCGCTCGATCAGTACACTTTCTTGTTTTTACAGTTCATTTTAGGTTGTAAACAATTGAAGTTTTCAACTTCTAAAACCATATAATGTAGATCCAGTAATATATTGGGAACTTGATGAAACAACTTGAATTCTTAAGACTCAAACATGGCTTATATAGAGGAATAATGAACCTGAACGACTTAACGTAATGGGCTTTACGCTATGGTTTCTAACCCTAAGGTGTCTAAAATTAGGGTTTCTATTTTTCTATACTTCTATATTCTTATATTTCAACATTTTCAATTTCAATATTTGGTCCAACTTACATATAAAAATACTAATGAAGCTGTTTTTTGAGCTGGAAAGAGCTGTGTTTATGTGTCTCCCTACTATTGACAACTTATCAACGTAGCTATCTTGTTACTTATCGCCAAATCTTTTAATGCTACATTCATAAAGAACTTTTATTTCTTTCCCATTGTTTGGTAGTTGATATGATTCCAATACGTTAAGAAAACATTGTTATATTGCAGATTCAATGTCAGTTTGGAATCTCCTCAGAGAATTCCGCATCAGAAAAGTACACATGGCTGTTGTTCTTAATGAATACGGTGGAACTGTTGGAGTATGCATTCTCTCCAATTTTGAAAGAACGTTCAACATGTAGTTATGTGTTATGTAATTGCATATATTATCCCTGTATCCTAATTTAATAACCATCAATTTTTCCATGTTCTTTTCTATGATTGTCTTTCCTTTGTTAAAGATTGTAACCCTTGAAGATGTGGTTGAGGAAATTGTTGGTGAAATCTTTGATGAAAACGATTCCAAAGTAAGGCTCATCAGAAAAAAATAATCAAATCATTTTCAGTATCAATATAGGAAAAGAGTTCTCACATATTAGGCTCCATTGCAGGAAGAAATCCAAAAAAAAACTGGCTACATTGTTCTCAGGGCTGAGGGAATATTTGATGTGGATGCTAATACATCCATTGACCAGCTATCAGATGAACTTGAGATAAAAATGCCAGAGGTAAGTTGATATCTTTTACATTAATTGGTATACTCTGAAATTTTATATCATCCCCTTTTGCATGATGTTCGGCTATTCATAATGGAGCTAAGAGAATCATTTTCACAATGATTTTAGCTTTAGGTAAAAATGGTATCAATCAAACTGGCACATTAAAGCTTCCTTGCTTTTTACATTCTCTGAATTTTTGGGAAGTAAATGCAGCAATGCTTCGAGGATCTAACGAAAACAGCCTCTGTTGTCTACACAAGTGGGGTTGCGTACATCTTGACCACCCAGACAGCCAGACCCCAACTGAGTTGGGATTATGTTGGGTTTGTCTTGTTGGTGTGGTGTATTTCCCATGATGCTGCTCTGTACTCCTATCATTATAACTAACCTTTTATAATTTACATTCAGGGGCATCAATATGAAACAGTTTCTGGTTTTGTTTGTGAAGTGTTTGGGTACATTCCAAGGACAGGTGAAAGTATAGAAGTAGTGCTGGAGAAGTCAAATCGAGAAGAGCATAGTGACTATACCCAAGCTGAAACAGAACAGGGGGATCAAACTGAAAAGAGTCAAATTTATAAGCTTGAGGTAATGTTTTTTCACTCTTTCCCAGCTTGTCACAAATGGTGTTTACTGTTTCATTTTGTAACTTCCCATTTCCCATTTATTGCTCATCTCTTTATTAATTGTATGCCCACAATGAGTCTGTGTTTGTATGTCAGAGCTTATTTGGGAGCTTATAGTTGATTTTACGGTTCAAAGAGGCCATATGTTGTGTTTGGTAAAATATTAAGCGCTTTAAGACTTAAAATAAGCTCTTGTTTGATAATTTGTAACAAATACAACAAACCTATAGCATCTGACGAATAAGGTACTAGAATACTAGCTTATCAATTTTTTCTTTATTATTTTACAAAACTAACTCCTTTTATCCATCTTTTATAGTTTTATTACTCTTTAAAATTTGAAATTGTCTATTTACATCTTCTCACACATCAGCAACAAAATCAACTTCTATTAACTATCGGCTTCTAGCAATTAGCTTATCAGTTTTCAGCAAGCTTTTCATCTCGGCCTGGCAAAAAGGCTTAATTTTAATAAGTACTCCCTCCGTCTTGCAGTATTTGTCCAGTATTCCCTTTTAGGCCGTCCCATAGTATTTGTCCACTTTCTATTTTAGGCAATAAAAATTAAATGAAATGTCCATATTATCCTTATGATTTACTCAGCTCCCACCCCTCTTATCTAGACTTTCTTTCTAAGCCACAAACTTTTTAACCACATCCACCCAAATACCTTGACGAAATCTTGTCCGATCATTTCCAGATTTGCAAATCTTGTCTGATCTTTTTCTTCATCTATCCCTTCGATCTGCTCTTCTATATTAAAACTAGCAGATTTTTTCAGGGATGTATGATGACGGACTTTGCCTGGGATTGGGTGCGGTTGGGATGGGTTGTGCAGCTGAGGGTAGGCTGGGCGGCTGGATGGTTGGGTGAGGCCATTGGGAATGGGCTAGGAGTTGGGTGGCTGCTAATGGCTGGTGGAGGTCGGGATTGGTTGTGCGGCTGTGATTCGTGCCGTCGAGGTAGCTTGGCCAATGGATGGTTGGGGAAGGCCATCGGAATGCGATTTGGTGAGTTTGGGATAAAGGTTGGGGCTGGTTTTGTGGTTGGTTGTCTTCTCCGTCAGATGGAGATGGACGACGGCGAACGGTATCTGGCAAACGGAGATTGGATGTGGGGCATGAAGTTGGGGTGGAGGGTGGATATCAGGAATGACGGGCGGTTGAGGGATGTTGGATAACTAGGGGCAATTGTGTCACTTTACTCCTTACCTTGGTATTTATGCCACTTTGAAAGTGGGCAAATATAGAGGGACGGAGGGAGTATTCTATATACTACGGGGTATTCATTATAAGTGAAGACGATTCTCAAACTTTGTTTTCTTTTTCCGCTGTGAACGCATGTCCATATTCTAAAATTAACTAGCTACATCATATTCAATTACCTAAGGAACAAAAAGTCCTGGATGCCATTTAATTGCTTAAAGAGCTTTTTTTCCTATGTATGGTTTGGTGAAGGTTCTATTTAGGAGTCACTTTCACAGGCACTTGGTTTTGGACCCACTTCAGTCCCTCTATCCCGTAAAAATGTTCGACATTGTCCTAAAACAAGGCTCTACTTTACTTTTTAGGAAATAATTGCGTGTTTTGACTCATATCCATCTCCCTAGATAATCTCAACCACACAATTTAACCTTTTCTTTATATCCATGCCGGGTCAATTGTGGAGCCTTATTGCGGACAAAGGGAATAGAATGTTTGATTACCAAGTAGTGGGTAGCTTGATAATGCTTTTGTATGATGCAGATATTAGCAGGAAATGCCAGAAAGGTTAGTGCTGTTCGGTTTGAACGGATCAACAATGAATATGTAGCAGTAGGTTCCAAAGGAGTGAAACACTTGTTTCCTAAAGTAATGGCAAAATGGAACATACGTGATATTTCAAACAGCAAGGACACGAATGAGGTAATGGGTCAGGGGACAACAGATCGGGGCAGCACCCAGTCCAACAATGGTGTAATATCTGAACATGAAAACAGTCATGACCACCATAATATAGAATAGCTAGTCTACTTGTTACATCAATGAACCTTAAATACTAGATTCTACTCAGCAACTTTCTTAAATGAAATAACATGGGGAATGAATGAATATATGAAGAGCGACTGAATGGAAATGGATTTGTTCTCTGAGTTCATTTACATGTTGATGCATTTCTTCTCGCCCACGATAGTATATGCCTTGTTTGTCCATGGGTTCACGATGCCAAAGGAAATGTTAAAATGGAGTGCAGAATCCTCTTGAATGCAAGTTTTTTTTGGAGGCATAATAGGCTTAAATGCAATCTGTTGGCCACTTCTGCTTTCTAATCCCACAGGTAATGTTGTTCAGTGTGCAAATATAAGAACTTTATGATGAACTGGATATGGATGGTGAACTTTATGAATTCACCTGCCCTACTCGGCCATCTACTCTATTACTCTGTATTTTCATTTCTGTTTTTTTTTGTTATTTATTACGGAGTATTATTATTTTTGGGAGTGTATGAAGTTAAATGTCCACTTACTATATGGATCAAAACAATTTTGGAGATAATAAAATAGTGCCTCTAGAATATATTAATAAAGGGCATCACAGTTTCAATAGTAACAGTGTCAACTCATCTTATTCCTTAGAGTAGATTTTTACCAGTGTGATGCACAGAAATATTTTTTTTCTTTTTTGTTGTTTTCAATGCCTTTGTTTAATTGGAATTGGGAAACAAATAGCGTCATTTTTATATGACTTTGTTTCCATTGCATGAAATTATTCATATCCTCTTTGAGTGGTGACAATGTGGTACGCCATAACTTGTTGCTATAGTTTATATGTTAGATACCACACACATCTTTGGAGTGGGGGGGGGGGGTAATTAGTGATGTTGCCCAAATGGTTGATATTTCACGGAAGCATTCTCGACAAAATCTTGATAAAAACCAATGCACCACTAGGTTGGGCACGGGCTGGACTGGGCCAATTTTCATCAAACCCGGCTTGGAGACGGTGAGAGTATTGTCCAAATAATTGATTTTTGTGAAAGTATTCTTGACAAATTTTGGAGATGACAAAATAGTGCATCTAGGCTATTAATAAAGGGCATCATAGTTTTGATAGTTTTAGTGTCAATTCATCTTATTCCAGAGAGTAGATTTTTACCTTGTGAGGCACGTAAATATTGTTTTCTTTTTTGTTGTTTTAAATGCCTTTGTTTCATCGGTATTGGTAAACAAATAAAGTCATTTATATAAGACTTTGTTTCCATTGCATGAAATTATTCATATCCTCTTCGAGTGGGGGAGGGGGATAGGGGGGGTAGAGATGTTGCCTAAATGGTCAATATTTCAAGGAAGTGTTCTCGACAAATTCTTGAAAAAAACCAATGTACCACTAGGTTGGGCACATGCTGGACCAGGCCAATTTTCGTCAAACCCGGCCTGGGGGAGGGTGAATAGTATCATCCAAATAATTGATTTTTTGCTTAAGTTTTCTTGACAAATTTTGGAGATAACAAAATAGTGCCTCTTGAATATATTAATAAAGAGCATCATAGTTTTAATAATAATAGTGTCAATTCATCTTATTCCTTAGATCAGATTTTTACCTGTGTGATGCACGGAATATTTTTTTCTTTTTTGTTGTTTTAACACCCTTTGTTTTATCGGTATTGGTAAACAAATAAAGTCATTTTTATGTGACTTTTTGTTTCCATTGCATGAAATTATTCATATCCTCTTTGAGTGGTGACGATAATGTTGTACGTTGTAACTCGTTGCTATAGTTTATATGTTAGATACCACGCACACCTCTAGAGTAGGGGGGGGGAGTAATTAGAGATTATGCCCAAATGATCGATGTTTCACGAAGTATTTTGATAAAATCTTGATACAAACCAATGCACCACTATGTTGTGCATGGGCTAGACTTGGCTATTTTTGTTAAACCCGGCATGGGGAGGGTGAATAGTATTGTCCAAATAATTAATTTTTTGCGAAAGTGTTCTTGACAAAATCTTGATCAAAACCAACGCAACACTAGGAATGGGCACAGGCCGGACTAGGCCAGTTTTTATCAAACCCGGCATGGGGATGGTGAATAGAGGTGTTGCCCAAATGGTCGATTTTTTGCGGAAGCGTTTTTTACAAAATCTTGATCAAAATCAACACTCCACTATGGTCGACATGAATCGGGCCGGGCCAATTTCTATCAAACCTGCCCCCGGCTTGTTCATTTAGAAAAATGACGGGTAGGGAAGGGTTGCTAGAAATTGATAATTAGAAACGACCTTAACCTCTTATTTAGAATGAGCTGATTCCACGAGTCAACAAGTCCAAACGTCACCAAATACCTTCAGTGAGGCATCAATCAAAATTTTTAATGAAAAAAAAATGTGCGGTGGGTTCCACCACTAATTAGCACACTGTAGAACACTACTAGTGCATTACTCAAATTAATTTAGTTAGTCTAGGGGGAAAAAGTTGTTAGAATAATAGACTAACGCTAGAGGAGGGTGAATAGCGTTTGATCGAGAAATCGCAGGAATTAAAAAATTAAAAACGTAAAGAGCAAGGAAGAGGCACACCAATTTTACCCTGGTTCACCACAACTTGTGGCTAATCCAGCCTCCTGAGAGACTCTCTCGAGCTACACTACTATCTCGTTAAGCTTAACGGTGCTTAACAAACCCGTACTACTTGAGAGTTCGAGTCACACAAACCTCAACGAACCTTCGAAGGAAACAACCCTTCCTTCGAACAACAAGAGAAATATTTTCTCTTGTCAAGTGTCTAAGAACATTAAATCACTCAAGAACAAAACTCTCTTTTAGAGTGGATAATGAGTAACTAAAAACACTCAAGAACATAACACGAACTTCACAAAAGTGGCTCTCGAAAAACTATGAATAATGTATGAATTGTATGCAATGAAGGAGTAGAGTTGTGAAGTAATGTGATATGTAAAACAGACCCAAACACCCCATTTTATAGTGGAAAAATAGGCTCCAACGGATCAAAACATTTAAGGGGTGATTGGCACAATTTGTGGGATTTGATTAAGAATGGATCTGCTGAAAATCCTCTAGACAGTGCTGTCCATGGCTTGGACATCGCTGTTCTAGGCTTGATTTTTGAAAAATAGGAAGCAACGGTCATGCCAACAGCGATGTCCAAAACCCCTACATCGCTTTTTTGGCTGTTGACTTCCAAACAGGGAAAGTTTTAGCCATAAATTCCTTCCAACGGTCAGGTGCCTACATCGATGTTCATTACTTGAACATCGATGTTCAGGCTTGACTTTAAAGGGGAAGGAGTTAGCCGCTATTGCTGGGTCAACATCGCTGTCCAAAACCTTTCTGCCAAAGGCATTTCTTTTTTGCTTAGGTTGGACAGCGATGTAGGGTAGGCTACATCGCTGTTCCAGATGTTTCAGGAAACCCAACCTTGGCTCAACAATGATGTCTAGCATCAACATCACTGTTTGAAGACTTAACGCCAAACCATGGTTTTCAGCTTGCCATGCCAGACAGCGCTGTTGGTTACACCAACATCGCTGTTGGGCTGGTTTAGCCAGACCCATGGTTGGTTTAGTTATGCCGTTACCCATGGAGGCATTTTTGTGAAGTTCGTGTTGTGTTCTTGAGCGTTCTTAGTTACTCATTATCCACTCTAAAAGAGAGTATTGTTCTTGAGTGATTTAGTGTTCTTAGACACTTGATAAGAGAAAGTTTTTCTCTTGAGTAGTTCGAAGGAAGGGTTGTTTCCTTCGAAGGTTCATTGAGGTTCGTGTGACTTGAACTCTCAAGTTGTACGGGTTTGTTAAGCACCGTTAAGCTTAACGTTGATAGTGTAGCTCGAGAGAGTCTCTCGGGAGGCTGGACTAGCCACAAGTTGTGGTGAACCAAGGTAAAAACGGTGTGCCTCTTCCTTGCTCTTTACTTTACGCTTTTAATTTTTTATTCCTGCGTCATTTTCGTTTCAAACGCTATTCACCCCCTTAACACGTTACGCTTTAATATTTTATCTAACAATATATATATATATATATATATATATATATATATATATATATATATATATATATAGACACACACACACACACACACCTTGATACCCCTACAGTGGCTCCCCACTTCCTTGGTTGTTCCAATTCAGACAATGAGCTAGAAAGCCCACATTGGAATGTACACTACAACTCCGATCATGAGATCCAACCCTTGGGTAATCCCCTTCTTATACCATCAGAGGAATTAGAGGAGGATTGGATCACGGATAGAGGTTCTGAATAGGAGGAAAAGTGGCATGAGAACGAAGAAACAATCAAGAAAAGAAACCAAAGGAAATTCGACAAACTTTGCCATAAGCTACATGAATCTTCTCGTCCTCGTAGAAGTAAAAGGCTCTCGGATCTACGAGCAAAGCTTACTCATGAAAAAAGCATGCTTTTTTGAGATTCTTAATCTGATTTCTCTTTTACAGTTGTTTATGATTTTCTTTCTCACCGAGGCTGATAGTGAATTCAAGGTTTAGCATTTAGTGGCACCTTCTGCCAATTCAAGAGCATGTCCTTTACATTTGTTAACTAAGCATTTTATCTAGGCCTTTCATACAACTCAGGTTACTGGTTTTACTGGGCATCTTAGAGCATATGTGCGTATAAGTCTCTCGAGGCCCTGGGCAGTAGCAAGACTCAATCTGCAGATTTTGTGACTTTCTTTCTACACTCCATGTACTGCACACATCAACATTCAATCATGGGAAGTAATTACCTCAATTATTGCATATGGAATACCTCTCAAAGGATATGGACAAGTACAACGGAAAAGTGGCAAGACTGGTGAACCCCACTTCTGTCCAGTTTCCTTGTTATTCTTGTAGTTTTGTTTGTTGTTTTGACACTTTTATTTCCTAGTTGATGTGAGTATTTAGGCCTTGTAGGGGTCCGGCCAACCCCCCCACCTTCTTTGTACTTTCTCTTTTTCTTTCTTTCTCTTTCAATAAAAATAATCCTTTAAATAATATATATATATATATATATATATATATATATATGTATATATATATATATATATGTATATATACATATATATGTATATATATATATATAGATATATATATATATATATTGTTAGATAAAAAATTAAAGTGTAACGTTTTAAGGGGGTGAATAGCGTTTGAAACGAAAATGACGAAAAAAATTAAAAGCGTAAAGTAAAGAGCAATGAAGAGGCACACCGTTTTTACCTTGGTTCACCACAACTTGTGGCTAGTCCAGCCTCCCGAGAGACTCTCTCGAGCTACACTATATATATATGGGTTGGTTTCTGTAAGAATTATGCTTAGCGAAAGAAATAAGAATAGAGGATATGCATTGATCTATTAAATCTAATGCCTCTCATCGAAGCAAAAAAAAGTAATTGAGATTGGCTGCATTTAATGATGCGTGCTATTTTATTGATAAATGTTATATAAAAGGGCAAGTTAGGAAAAGAAATGGCCACATCATCCACAATTTTAGGCCACTACTCCGTATTAATTGTTTTCAATTAAGTGGACTTATCATTTCAATTAAATTGATTAATTGTAAAACCACAATATCACAATGTTTTCAAAACTAATTGATTCAATTCCATAAATATCTCATTTTTTTAAATTTATCTCGATGAGATGCACTGTGATATCCATCATTAAATGTGTAAGGTGAATGCACAATGACTAAAGATATATGCACTATGATTTGTTCTTTAGATTTTATTCTAATTTTATTATATTAATTTGTGAATTAATGAATAATGACTTCAGAGTGACATTGTATGTGATGACAAAGACGGAAAATGCATTGTATAAAGAATATTTGTAATACATATTTGAAAAATAGTTTGCCTATGCGGGATTCGAACCCACATCTGTATCACATACTGCTCTACCATTTGAGCTAATAGACAATAATTTATTTTTTTAAAGACTCTCATCTTTTATTTGGACCTTTTAAATATGCATTTGAATCTTTCAAAATTTGTAACATTCAATGTGTTTCTGATCCACATTCAAATTTATCACAAAATATTTTTCACTAAACGACCAAAAACGAAAGGTGGTTTTTGAGGTGTTTTTGTTGGAGAACTATATAAATATGCCCAGAAGTAAAAACCAATCATAAAAAGTTGAAAACCACTTGGTTGGTTCGGACGCCAAAAACCAACGCTGAAAACCGAAAGTCGAATGTCGGTTTTTGAGAACCGAACGCCGGATGGCTTGGTTTTTTGTTTGGGCGAACTCCAAGTGTTTTTAGGCATGTTTAACACTTATGAAAAACATTTTTGAGTATGCAAAAAGTATTTTGATGAAATGAGCATAGAGAGCCGAGTTTTGAAAGTTTGTGCTGGTCTTGATCACATTAAGACCGACTCAATAAAATTCCAAGTCTTCGTTCTTGGTTCTTGGTTCTTGGTTCTCAAATCATCATGCCATGTTCCTTTGCCTTTGATTTGCTCAGTTTAGTGTTTGTTGTCACGACGGTTTGGCATTATCAAAACCCGTCCTAAAACAAACACGATTTAGTACGACATAGGCGTAAACCCGTGTTCCAACAAAAGTAAAAACCAATCATAAAAAGTTGAAAACCACTTGGTTGGTTCGGACGCCAAAAACCAACGCCGATAACCGAAAGCTGAATGTCGGTTTCTGAGAACCGAACGCCGGATGGCTTGGTTTTTGGTTTGGGCGAACTCCAAGAACCAAAGTTCATGCATTGATGGTGAAATTTTCATCACAAAAAAATGATGTATTCACTACAAGAAAAGAGCCTTTTAGCCTCATTTAATTCACCGCACATGACCAAGTGTGGTAATAAAATTAAGCACTTTATCATTCCCAACACTTAAAAGAGTGGCAAAAGATGAATTTATTTACCTGCATAAAAAAGTGTGGAAAATCACATAAATATATCTAATTATAGAAAAACATACATCATTATTCATTCTTTTTTTCCGTAACATAGAAATTGAAAATTTTAAATTATATTACTCTTTAAAAAACTTTAAAAATCTGGACAAGAAATTCGCTGAAATATTAGCGCCCACTTTTTCATTTCGAGCGCCTAAAAAGTAAAAAATACTCCGTATAGTTCATTTCCAGCGCCTTANTTATCGTTTGGCCAGATTCATTCGTTCATATCAGCATATCAATTGAGTGGAAAAGCAATCGCAGGTATCGAATAAGTCCCCCTTCTTTACTACTACTTCCATTCAATTTGATTTCAATTATGATTCAGTATGACCCCTTTGTTCTTGCTGCTTCAGGCTAAAATTCGTACGCAAATACTTCATTTTATTTGGATTGTTTGATGATATCATGCTGTTGAACTAAAAATCTGTGAGTAGTTTTCAGATTTACTTCATTATATTGAAAACCTTCTTGATTCTGATTTTTTATGCTATTTTTTAGGTTTAACCAAAAAAATATCTTAACATTTTAGGGTTAATTCAGCTTGAATTGATTAATCGTATCTAAAACCAGTGAATTCAGCTTTCTGTATTCAGAATGTCGTTTAGAAATTGAAGATCTTAAACTAATAATGCATTAATGCTCATTAGCCACAACAAACAAAAAAGAGTGTCACTGCAATATCTCAAATGGCCAAACTAGTTACTAAAAGCCCAAAAGAGTCAATAAATTAAGAGAAAATAGATGTTGTCAGTAGATGGTTTCCAAAAGCAAAGCTACTCACGCATTGAATTTGGAAATGCTTCTCCCCAGGAGATGCTTCTTTCCAAAACAAAGTAAGCATGAGTTTTAAAGTGTGCAATACTCCAATCTGTCCAATAGTAAACTGCCTAGGAGATGCTTCTGTCCACGGTTTTAAAAGGCAAAAAAGGCTAGGTCGTGGAGTATATGTGATAGGTTTATGTAAACGTGGTTGTGAGGCTGAATCATTTGCTGTGATAAAGCTTTCTAAAAAATCCAAACATTGGTAGCTTTCATGAAGTATTGAGACATGATACGTCGCAAACAAAGGGTGACTATCGTGTGAGTTCCAAGGCCTCCTAACAAATGGAACTGATACTCCAACGCCTCCTAATGTATCTACTCAGGAAAGAGCTAGAGAAAAACATAAAATTTCCATGCAAAAAAAGATACTTCATGTGAGTTCAATTTATCTACTAAAATTTGGATGTTTATCAATTAAGTCCAGGTGGGTACGGTAATGTTATTTATTATCTCTTTCTTCTTGGTGTTATCTTCTTGATGTTTTGTCAAGTACTAATCAGATCTTCTCCATTAATATAAATCTTCATCCAATTAAAGTATTATTAATCACTCTTTGAGTTTGGTCATACTGTCAACATTTGCGCTTCTCAGATTTCTAAAAGGGGGAGGTGGAGAAACTTAAGATTTTGGCTAAACCCTTGTCTGGTTCAGTAGCTTAGTTCTTGTTTTGAATTTCTAATTCGAAATCCGTCGATTACCCTCTGTAACCAGAGCTATAGAGATGGTAATTGATCTTTCAATTTCAATTTAGATTCAAATTTTTTATGTTTTTTTTCTCAAAATTGTTGAGAAGAATGTTAATGGTTATACTACTGTAGGT